TACTATTTCTTGGTGATTTCATAGTGAAATTGAGCGTAATCTACTTGTAGATGTTCAATGAGTGAGTATGCTTAAAGCTAAACATCCGGGCCTTTATCGTGAAAAATCTCCTTAGAGGGTCTAGGAATTTGAGGAAGAAGTGGATTCACGGGTCATCGCCCCTTAAACCTGTCAAATTGACATTCAATTTCGGTATAATTGAGTTGATCATTATACTGTTATATAGTTCTCAATTATTTGAATTGTATAAGATGTCTTATAAAATGTGTAAATTGCATTATAAGAAGAAATTTCTGCAATATTCCATCTTATTATGAAATTTACATATTTTATAATCTTCTCATTTTGCCCGAATCTATTGTACTCCGTTTGTTGTATAAACTTGATTATGTGACTTTATGTACTGTTATGACAACTGCATACAAATTTGAATTAGAAGTTTGGAAAGGAATTGGAGATTTTAATCTTTGGCGCCAAAAAATGAGTGCTCTATTATTACAATGGAGGTGTGCTGTTGCCCTTGATGGATCATGACGTACTGAAATTAGTGCTTATAGGAGACATGAAGTAGATGAGATTGCTTGAAGTTCAAATTTTCTACATTTGTGTGATAGTGTGATAAGAAAGATTGGGGAAACTACTACTAATGTTGCTGTTGCTGCTGCTGCTGCTACTGCTGCTGAAGCTTTGTGGACTAAGTTAGGATCCATTTACTTAATCAAGACAATGCCTAATAAATGCTATCACCTCAGACAATTTTATAATTTCAGATTTGATATCTCATCCACTCTGGAAAAAAATATTGATAAATTCACAAAATTGATTCAAGATCCGGCTAACTATAATGAGAAGCTATTTGATGATCAACAAGTTGTTGCTTTGTTGAATACACTGGGTGATAAATACAGAGAACTTAGAAATGCTTTAAAATATGGAAGAGAGAATTTGAAAGTTGATATTATTATCTCAACCTTAAAAAATAGAGAACTTGAACTAAAATCTGAATTCAAAAACTCTAAAATGGAGAAGGGTTAAACATTAAAGAAAAGTTGAATCAGAACAAAAAAGAGTAATCGATGCAATTTTAACTCTCACAAGAAAGGGAAATCTCAAACTTCCAAATCTAGAAATCAAAACAGGAGTCAACTGAAATCCAAGAATCAAGTTAGGAAATATTATTTCTATGGTAAAATTGGACATTTCATAAAAGACTGTTTCAAAAAGATATCTGATATGAAAGGAAAGGAAACTCTAATCCCGATGAGTTAGCTATCGCAGCTTGTAATAATGAATCTGAAATACAATGAGTTGTCCTTGTTACTTCAAATAAAAGAAACCCCAAGGAATGAGTTCTTATAATGGGTTCTTAACTCTGGCTGTTCTTTCCATATGTGTCTCATTAAAGAATGGTTCATTGAGTTTGATGATCTGATAGTGGTCAAGTTCAAATGGGAAATGATATGGCTTGTAAAATAAAAGGCAATGGTAAAGTTAATCTTTTGTTAAAAAATAGTCATATTCTTGAGCTGCCCTTAACAAGATATGCTCCTGATCTTCAAAAAAACCTGATTTCTTTGGGAGAATTGGATAATGAATATGAAATTAGAATTCATAAGGAATTTCCCAAAGTAAATTTCAATTCTAAAGAAATAATTTCATCACCCAAGGTTATTGGAAGTTACACACTTCAAGTTGAACCTTGTCATTGCTCTAGGCCACATGGCAGGCCGGTGTAATGAGTCATATCCAATCCAAATCCATTTTAACCAGACTACTCGCTACAAGTTCAAACGAAATTTTGAATTGTATATAATTCATCTGATTGTCTTTATTGTTCGAGAGCTTTTGGTATGATTACCAGTTGGACACCATGATTTGTTACTTCACTTCAAACGACATTGCATTTTATCCATTGTTTTGTTCATAAATTTGTATTTACCTAATGCATGTTATGACCCATTTATGAATTTCTTCTGTAAACGTATGATTGTCAAATCATGTGCAGATCTTACACCTAATATGGAACCCCTGAGTTGGAATACGAGGATGAGGATAGCAGCTGACGCAGCCAATGGTTTGAGTTACCTGCACCACCAGGTGGATCCTCCAGTCATTTACAGGGATCTGAAATAGTCTACTATATTACTGGATGAAGGGTTCCACCCTAAACTTTCTGATTTTGGATTTGTAAATTTTGGTCCGATTGAGGATAAGTCTCATGTTACCACTAGGGTCATGGGCACTCATGGATAAGAACGAAGCGTTCTTGATGTTCCACATGAGATAGACAATTTCAAAAGTTCGGGAGCAGATGTGAGTGAAGCACATTACAGCGGGTCTTGGAGATTACATGAATTAGATCACCGGTCTAGTGGGTTTTTTAGGTTGGATTATACTGTAAGTTCTTATTATCTATAGTGGAAACTACTGGTTTGGTCCTGGAGTTTTTACTTAGTTAAAAGTTTTCTCTGTTATCAAATCTTGTATTATTTACTGCTTTAATTATTTATTGCGACAATTCAACATAAGATAATTTGACTTGATTAACTAAACATTTATAACAATTAAAAAGCGACTTTTTGCTTTTAATTGATAAATTTAATTCCATTTTATTCACCTATTAGATGATTTTAGATTGAACTAGTAACTTTCAACCTTAAGTTAAATATTTATCAATTTTTTTAGTTAAGCCAATCCATGCTGAAGTTTCATATATTAATTGCTAGGTGGAAAAATATATAATAGGTGAGGATACTGATGAGCAAAGAGTGATGATCATCCACGTACGCCGGCCGGCCCCTTATTTGAAAAGTTTTAAAATGTCATGCATGGGATGGGATTACAATCAGTCGCCCAATTTTATAATTCTTTTCGTTTCTATAAATACCCCTCGGTTTCCTCAATGAACACAAACACAATCTAATAAACACTATTCTATCCTCAAAACTAGTATCATCATCCTTGTGAAAATGCATTATCGAACAGGGTCTCGGAATTCTTATAAGCCCACCAGCAATTGTGTTGTTACTGACCCACTGGCACACATTGAAAGACTGGCATCTGATAATGCTGTGGTGATATTCAGTATGAGCACTTGTTGCATGTGTCACGCCATCAAAAGGCTCTTCTTCGGAATGGGAGTGAACCCGACGGTGTATGAACTGGATCAAGATCTCACATTAGGAAAGGAAATAGAGAAGGCTTTAATGCTACAGATGGGAGTGTCTTCCGACGTGCCATTGCCGGTGGTGTTCATTGGTGGGAAGCTGGTGGGGGCCATGGACACAGTCCTGGCATCTCACATCAATGGCACTCTTGTGCCATTGCTAAAACAGGCTGGTGCTCTTTGGCTCTGATTGATTGAATATTCGTTCTCTTTCTTAATTTTTAGAACAAGAAATTAAGGAATGAGTAATAAGCAATCAATCTATATGATGTTTAGTGGAATTAACGGAGTAACATTAATAGAATTGTATATCCTTTCTGTTAATTTTATGTTCGCAGTTTCATTATTTGAGTAACTTTCACTAATTCCGCATTATGAATTTGTCGGAGAAAATGTAGTTTGGTCGGAATATATCTTTCTCAGTTATTTCTATAAGCGGCTGTTGTATTGTGCGACGGCGGTGCATTTATATTTGTCGGCGAGTGAGACAGAGGAGGGAAAGACACAGATTATTTCTTTTTACTTACTAAATCATAAGATTCATATTTATCGCTCACCATGCAAGGCAAGCTGATTAATTAATAGAAATAAGACATGACCTTAATATTCTTGATAAATTTAAACGTCAACATTATTATTTTTCAATCTATATCTCTGTTTACCAAAAGACCATATACGATGTAATCGTCTCAGTTGAAACTATACATTTCTTTTAACATATTCTACTTGTAAATTATGAATAAGTAAGTAATACTTATAAATCGACCTAAGTACGTTTATGGATTATTTATAAACATGAGACAAAGATAGATAACTATATATTATTCTGACATTACAACTAATTTAATCTTATAGGTCAAATAATCTTCAAACTAAATGATTAAGACAAACAAAACCTCAATAGTTTAGTTTCACTATTATTTTTATTCCTACAATACAACTAATGAACGGGCATGCAGTGTCTTTCCAAAATTTTAATGTAATCTCATTAATTAATTAAAACCATGCATGGTATCGGCAAAGTGCTAAAGAGTTCGTTTTCAATTATATATACAAGGCCGACACTAGACCAAAGCCAACTAGACAATGGTCCGGGGCCTCAACATTTTTTTTAATGTAATCACTGTTTTTGTTGAAAGATTCTAAACGCAGAAGAAGTTACAATGTGTCTTGTTCATTTTCTTGATGTTTGTGTTGTCAAGTCTTCTGATTTTGTTGTAAAAATTGCATGTCCGTTGTGGAAATAGTAAAGTCAATGGACATATTCCAATTTTGTATACTCTTCGTTCTATGCTTTCCAATTCAATCTTTACTAACATAACAAGAAGAGACCCCTAACCTATTTTTCAGTCCTCAAAATGAGACCTTTATTCAAATGAATTATAATTACTCGTCAAGTAGAACAAAAATTATTCAAAGGCAAGAACCGTGCATGGGGGCCCTCCCACAACTGTTCCAACCCCCCATGCAGTTAGTTGTTCATAGGGTTTGCGAGGTGGGGGGCGCTTTTGACCTCCCAATTTCTACTTTGTCGTTACTCAAAATTATAGCTAAAATTGAACAGTAGTTAAAATTAATATTTCACCACCACGATCGTATTCTTTTTCCTAAACTTGTTCCTCGTAATCCCTTTTTGTTTCTTCTAGTAATCGAAGGGAGACCAAGATAGGTGCTTGAATTTCTTATAGACCAAATAACTACATGATCGCCGCTTCTAATAAAAACCTTATCTAACATTGATTAATGTCCATTGAAAAGAAAGCGTATTTATTGGTTCAACTCCACTAGAACAATAAACAAAGAAGAAAGAAAAGGGATGTATCAAACCTACCACTGAGATGGACAAGTCAGCTAAATAATTCAAAAGGGGACATGCTCTCACATGGATGAATCAGCTAAAGAATTCCTGGTCCATCCCTATAAATATTTTTAAAAATAATAATAGAAAAATCTACAACTTTCGATTTTTTAAATTAAATTTTCTAGATTTTTTTGATAGAAAATCAATAATTAATTACACTATTACTGTGGGCAATTCATTCAACATTTTTTGCCAAATTGTTTTTTACAGAATGTAGGATTTTATCAAATTCATCTTTTGGCAATCATTTTCTCACAATTCTTAGCTCATAAATAACTATGCCCATCAAAATCATAATTCTTACCGTGCTTCATAAATTCTTCGAACTTATTACATTAATACTTCAAACAACAATTTTTTTTTACAATCGAATAGAAAATTCAAAAGCATTTTCATATTTTTAAAATTGTTCAAGCCTTAATTTAAGTGAAGAAAAAGCTTTATCAACTATATATGAAAAATAATCAACTATAAAAGTTTTTTCAGCTGAATGTCTTATCTCACCATTGATATATTTATAAAAGTTTATTTTATGAATAATTCATTTTTTCATGAAATGTATGTTCAACTTTCATTTGAACAGTAATTATTTAATATTAATCACGTTAAATTCAAATTTATTTTCTTTCTATGTTTTAAAAAATAAAATAAGTGAGTTTTAGTATTCAATAGCTGCTTCAATTGACATGTCATCACTTTGCAATATTTTATTTGTGTTTGAACCACATTATTTTGGAATAGTAAATTGATGAAAAATATATGGTTGAAAAAGAAGGGCAAGTTATTGATGTGATGAAAAATATTATTTTATTGAAAAATGTGTGGTTTAAAATAAGTAGAAAAATGAGAATGAAAATTTTAATATGACTCAAATAGGGAGTTAATCTATTAATGACAAACAATATGTTGTATCAAATAACTATGTCAAATAAGAACTTAAATCCACAATGTCAAAAAATAAACTTTTAGTATCTCTAAATGTCTTATGTTCATCACACGTTTCCACCAAGTATTTTAAAGTGTTTTTATCTGTGACCTTTGAAATCTTATTACTTTTTAACACATTCAAATTGATTTTCTTAACGTGTTTGTGATAGTAGTTAAGTATCGACTTTTCACATTATCTTGAAAAGATTTCAATCGCTTTGTAGAAAATGAAAAATAATATATGCATTGTACAATTCCAATAAATAAAGATTTTAACATTTATATAAGAATTTGTCATATCACAAAATACAAGATTAAGACTATGATGACCACATCGTAGAATGTCATTGGATTTATTTCATTTCATATTATTTTCACTGTAATTTTTTTTTTTTTTCATTTCATATGATTTGGGAATAATTTTAGTTTA